TTTATAAAAATATAGAAGAAATGTCAAGAAAAGATGGAATAATCCATTATTTAATATTCTGCTCCCAGTATGCATTACATAAATAAAACAAAATTAAAAATGGAGGGAACACAAGTACTTTTCTTTTTCGGGTGGAGCAGAAACTTTAGTCATAAAGTGATCTGCAGCACCCAAGCCTCTTACAGAAAGTTAACTACACTTTCCAAACAATTCTACTTTTGAAATCATCCTGGTATACACCCTCACATGACCTGGTATATATTCACTGAGCTCAAATATATGCCCTGCACAGTTATTGATGCTCAGGCTCCAGCTGTGAACACAGCAGGCCCAGACCCTGCCACTGTGAAGCTTACTCCACTCCTAGGGGCAGGCCAGAGAGGGAGAAAGACAAGGAGCAAGCGTGGGAGTGAGGGACATGGCAGGCACTGTATGTAGCTGCCCTGAGAAAGCTTCTAGGGAAGGTGGCAGTGAAGCAGAGAGCTGAAGGAAATAAAGATCGAGCCAGGCTGCCATCTGGGAAAAGAGTGTTCTAAGAGTATGCTTGATGTGTTGGGGCCAGTTGGCTGGGGCAGTATGAAGGTACGAGAGAGCGGCCTGTACTTGTGGGGAGGTGGGAATCACCAAGAACCTCAAAGCCTACAGTTCAAGACTTTGCCTCTGCTTTGCTTTCTCAGTGAGAGAACCAGCCACAACAGGATTCCCGGTAAAACAGTAACACAATCTGCCTTTTGTTTTAGAACACCGCTGTGCAGAACTTCCTGCAACTCTGACATGTTCTACATCTGTGCTGTCTACACAGTGACTACTAACAAGATGTGGCTATTTAAATTAACTAAAATGAAACGTAAAATTCAGTTCTTGCAGCGCAGTAGCCACATCTCAGGGGCTGATGTGGCTTTCACATTAGACAGTGTGGTGTCAGAGATCAGTCTGACTCAGACTTCAGACAGGGAAGTGTTGAATGAAGCAGGGTGGGGAAAAGGCAGGAAGTCACTGCAATAACCTGGACAGAACCGGTGGTGGCTTGGCCAGGGCCTGTGCTGTGGGAGGTGGTGAAAAAGAGTCCGATTTTGAATAAAGGTTTGAAGGGAGGTTTTACTGATGGAATGAACGTGGTCAGTGAGAGGAGTCACGACTAGCTCCAAGGTCTTTGGCCTGAACTCCTATGGAATGACAGTGCCATTTACTGGGAGTGTGGGGATGCTTTTGAGGGTAATGTGGGATGAGATCAGAAGCTGTGTTTTGAACATGTTAACCTGTAAGGCACCCTAGGAGAGATGTCCAGTAGTCTGTGGAGTTGAGGAAAAAAGATGTGGGCGGAAGACACAATTTTGGAATTTAGTGCTGGGTAAGATCACATGGCAGTGACTACAGATGGTGAGGAGAGGTTCAAAGATTGAGATCTGGGGCATTCTGCTGATGAAGTACTGGGAATGTGAGGAGGAGCTTGTGAAGGAGAGGCAGATGGAGAACCAATGTAGTAGGTGTCCAAAAGCCAAATGCATAAAGTGTTTCAGAAAGAAGGGAAACTGTCAAACGCTGCTGATACGTGGAGTAAGAAGAGACTGGAGAACAGATCATATTATGCAACAAAAAGATCAGAGGTGACTTCCACGAAAGGGTTAATTTTCATTGTCACTGCCTTACTTGGACTCTGTACTAGCTCTGCGGCTGCTCTCCTTTGCTCTAGTACTCCTGCCATTCAAACAGGTCTTTTACATTACTGTCAGTATTTTCTTTCTTTCTTTCTTTCTTTGAGACAGGGTCTTGCTCTGTTGCCCAGGCTAGAGTGCAGTGGCTTGATCATGGTTCACTGCAACCTCGCCTCCCAGACTCAATCTATCCTCCCACCTCAGCCTCCTGAGTAGCTGGGACTTAAGGTGCACACCACCATGCCTGGATAAATAAAGAAAAATTTTTATAGGCCAGGTCCATTGGCTCATGCCTGTTAATCCCAGCACTTTGGGAGGCCGAGGCAGACAGACCACTTAGGTCAGGAGTTCCAGACCATCCTGGCCAACACGGTGAAACTCCATGTCTACTAAAAATACAAACATCAGCCGGGTGTGGTAGCATGCACCTGTAATCCCAGCTACTTCGGAGACTGAGGCATGAGAATTGCTTGAACCCAGGGAGGTGGAGGTTGCAGTGAGCTGAGATCGTGCCACTGCATTCCAGCTTGGGAGACACAGCGAGACTCTGCCTTGGAAAAAAAAAAAAAAAAATTTAAAAAAATTTTGTAGAGATAGAGTCTTACTATGTGGTTCAGGCTAATCTCAAACTCCTGGGTTCAAGGGATCTGCCTGCCTCAGCCTCTCAAAGGGTTACTGCAGGCATGTGCCACTCAGCTGAAAAATATTTAACAGTATACTGTCTACAGCAGTGGCCAAACTTTAAGTGCACATAAAGACCACATGCAGGTGACTAAGCCCCAAAGCCACCTGTCACAGAAGACTAGAGGAAACCTGGAGACTGTGTCTTCAAGTAGCAGCCCAAATAATGGTTGTAAACCATATAGACAAGGATTGGCCTCTAGGGCAAAGTTCCAAATCCTAAGCAAAACAAGCACCTTTTCCAAATTTGGTCCCAAACTTCTTGTCTAGTTCCTTTCTTTTCTTTTCTAAGATTGTATGTTTCAACAACCTCTAACTAATTATTCAAATCAGTTGCCTTTCCCCAAAATGCTGTGTTCTTCTAGGTATTATTGCCCCTTGCGTATGAGGCTCCTGTTGCTTAGAAGACACTTTTAATCTGGTGTGCTCAGAAAATTCTGACTCACTCTTCAAGACTCAAACGTCATTGGTAGTGTGAAGGCTCAGCAGACTCCCCAAACTCTGTTAAACATTTCTATACATTTCTCACACTATCTGCTGGCTATTCTGCTATCACCTCCTCCCCACCTCAACCCACCCCCTGCCACCAACTCCAAGAGGCTGCGGAGAGAGAGAGATGGCATTTTCTCCATCTGTGCATGATGAAGACATTATCTAATATGCAGCAGACATTTGATATCCATGTATGACTGTCAGCCTGATACCCAGCAATACTATAAAGTGTGTGTATGCTCCAAAGCTTCAGAAGACACTGCCATTGTAGAGTGCTGGGGAAGTCAAAAATGGCTCTGTCGAAAGGACATACCACTACCTGGGGCTTGAAGGATGACTGGAACTTAGAAAGACAGAAAGAGGAGGAAGAGAGATGCCCAGGGAACACAGTCCCAGACTCCTAGGCAAGACCTTGGAGAGGCAGTTGGTGGTGGTGACAGGGAGGTAAGGGAAGGATATGGATGAACCTGACGTCCTCCACTAAGAAAGATATAGACTCAGAATATTGAAACTAGAATCTGAAATCTATAGATTATCATTTTAAATAAATAGTTTAAGCCCTGGTCTTAAAGGGCATTTCAAAAAAAACAAAACAGGCTGGGCCTGGTGGTTCATGCCTGCCATCCCAGTGCTTTGGGAGGCTGAAGTAGGAGGACTGCTGGAGTCCAGGAGATTGAGGCCAGCCTGGGCAACATAGCAAGACTCCACTTCTACAAAAAAAAAATTAAAACTAGCTGAGCTTGCTGGTGTGCATCTGTAGTCCCAGCTACTTGGAGGCTGAGGTGGGAGAACTGCTTGACCCCAAGGAGTTCCAGGTTGCCACGAGCTATGAATCCCACCTATTGTACTCCAGCATGGGTGACAGAGTATCTCCAAAAAATACAAATACAAAAACAAGTAACAGAAACTGAACCTTTACAACCTGCTAGTTGGATCTAATGAGCATTCCCATCTTCTTTTACAGGTTGAAACAAACTCAGAGCTTTGTTTATTAAAATAACAGTCTGAGAAGGGACTAAGGCCATATATCAAATCCTCACATGAGCTTATCAGCTATTTCTCTATCCTCATGCCTGCTTTCTCACAAAGAGGAACGGGGAAAGTGTGTGGTAGACTAACACAAATCTCTTCCCTTTACCCTCAAAAGCAAAGACCATCTCTTTGCACATCTCCTACTGAGGCATAGACCTAACTGGTTCCCATGGTACCCAATGGACTATATCTTACACAGAGCTGCTCTATGAGTAAGAGTTTAGTCCAGGAGTCTCTGCTACTTCATTAGTTCTAGAACTCCTCCTACAGCAATGTGGGCATACAGCTCCTCAAAATTTTTCCGAATAACGCAGAATCTGGCAATTCTCAATTTTTTATTTTATTTTTTAAATGAAGTCTCGCTCAAACAACCAAAGGGAAGTAAAAGAAAAAAAGTAAAGAAAAAAATTTAAAAAAGAAATGGAGTGTCGCTCTATCACCCAGGCTGGAGTGCAGTGCGTCTTGGCTCACTGCAACCTCTGCCTCCCAGGTACACGATTCTACTGCCTTGGCCTTCCGAGTAGCTGGAATTATAGGCGTGGCCACCAAGTGCAGCTCATTTTTGTTTTGTTCTTTACACCTGGCTAATTTTTGTTTTTTGGTAGAAAGAGGGTTTCACCATGTTGGCCAGGCTGGTCTCAAACTTGTGGCCTCAAGTGACCTGCCTGCCTTGGCCTCCCAAAGTGTCAAGATTACAGGTATAAGCCACCGTGCCAGGCCAAATTCTCTTGTTTATCTGTGGGTGAATCTTTGAGGGCAACCAGCCTCTGAACGTTGACACATCAGAACTTATATAAAGTAGTTTTAATTATATGCAATTACAAAAGAATATAGTTAGAAAAATAATTAGATCTAAAAGGAGCAGACTCCTAAGTTTTTCACGCAAAAATATCTACTTTATTGGTATGCATGATGCAATAAAAATGAGATTTGACATTTTGTTCTAAAAGTCTTGATCTTTGGCAGCTATTTCATATTTTGCTCTACTTGACCTTAGCCAAAAGGTCAAGAAAAGGTGGCTTTTTCGTATTTTATGCTAGTAACTATTATTCTTTTTACGTCCACAAAAATCAATTAACAACTGAATAACTACCTGAAATGGTTTTTAATTCTGAATCACAGAAACATAAAATTGCTTACCTGGGGGGAAATAAACTGGGGAGGCACTTGCGCCCGGAGACTGGGAGAAGAATTTAGTGGCTGCACTGGTGTGTGCAGACCTCTCGATTGTGCTGTGCTGTTTCCAAACAAACCATGACTACCGCCCTGTAAACAGAAGAGTAGCAGTAAGGCTTTCTGTTAATGTAAGAAAATGCAAGAAATAGTTCTGGTCTTTTAGATCCCTCAGAAGAATCACAGGCTGTGTTCCACAGAATAACAGAATTTCATAACTGAGATGTTCCTTATCTTAGAAGGCTTAGGGCAATTATTCAAATTGAATCATGGGCACCTGTACGGTTTGAAGAACTCTATAAACGGAAAGGTTTCAATTTAGTCAAATATTAGGAAAAGTTCTACATTCTTTTTTGTGAATGAAAGATATAGGCAACATAGCATTTATTTCAAGTACTCTTCTTTGCAACTGGGTTTCCCAAATTTATTCTCAAGCTTTATAATCTGAGCTCCATCTTGAAAGGCACCTGAGTAAAAATGCAGGCTTATGAATAGTTAACAGTTGTTATTTATAAAACATTGTGATATGACTTCTCTGCCGTCCAAGAGTGAGCCTACCGCCCTTCCTTGTCCTGGATCTGCTCAATCCCTTCTTTGCCAGATGAGGAAATGTGACTCAATCACACATTGAGAGAAAAAAGAAAGGGAGAAAGTAAAAATCATTACAGGGACACCAAAATAAACATTACTCACCTGTAACTTCTCATTCAAACCAATGAATATCAGTCTAGTTAAAAAATAAGCTGAACTCCCTCATTTCTGGAGACCCAACTCACTGGAGCACTTCTATACTATTCCACTGAAATAACTAACAGATTTATGTTATATGGTGGCTCTTCCTTTCTGACTCGTTTCTAGCTGAGAAAAGTCCTTCAGCAAAGAAACTGTATTTGATAACACAACACTGTGCTATCTCTGCCTCAGGTTCTTTCTAATACCCATCTTCACTTGACCTCTTCAAGGTCCAGTTTGGAGGTCATCCTCATCAAGGAAGTCTTCCCTAAAACCATCTTCCTGATTTCACATTCAGATTAATTGAGCCCACCTCTCCAATTTCAAAATACTTTAAAACTCTTTGAGGGCACTCATCATTAAACCACACTACGATTATTTTCCGTTCTATCTTTCTACTGTCAGCTTAAATATTTTCCTCTTCGTATTCAATAAAGCTCTGGTCTGTAGGATGAATATATAATTTGTAAATATCCATGACCCACCAATTCCACACACTGGAAAATGTCCCACTGAACATCTTCAGCAAAGATAGCTGCATCACTATACTGAGTACGTATACCCTGAATCGAAATCAACACCATTATCACATCCCTGGAATCAAAGGGATTAAGGGAATTTTAAAGAATTTTGTTATGGCATCATTAAGTACTACAACATGAAAAATACTGTGATGGCTTAATGATTAAAAAATAGATTATGGGACTGCTACAGGGAAATTAGTGAACTTAAAAGCATTGAAAATAAAAATGATTCTAAACATAAAGTCAAAATGGCAATTAAAATCCGTTTATCTTGTAAATCAAATATCCACCATGAATTTTACGTCTCCCAAAGGGTTGTTAAAACATGAGTAGGCCTTTAATTCTAGAAACTCTAACATCTCTACTGCTCCTATCTTACCAATCAGACTGTCACTCAAAAGTGAAATGGCTCAGCCCTAACTTTCCTCAGACCGTGGCAGTCAGTAGCTTGCCTACCCTGATCATCCCTAAGAAAGCAGGAAACATTTATTTCACTAAGGATATTGTGCTAAGATCTTTCTCACTTGATCATCAAAGTCGTGACTTAGTTATTAGATATCAACTATTCACGACTGGTCCTTGGACGGTGGGGTTACTGGTAGCTAAAGTCCCTGCCAGAATCCATTTTTGGGGAAACACAAAATTGCTTCCTGAGGGTCATTTTAAATTCCAACCTCTCCTTTGATAAGAAGTATTGAAGGCCGAGCACGGTGGCTCAAGCCTGTAATCCCAGCACTTTGGGAGGCCGAGGCGGGTGGTTCACAAGGTCAAGAGATCGAGACCATCCTGGTCAACATGGTGAAACCCTGTCTCTACTAAAAATACAAAAAAAAGTTAGCTGGGCATGGTAGCACATGCCTGTAATCCCAGCTACTCAGGAGGCTGAGGCAGGAGAATTGCCTGAACCCAGGAGGCGGAGGTTGCGGTGAGCCGAGATCGCGCCATTGCACTCCAGCCTGGGTAACAAGAGCGAAACTCCAACTCAAAAAAAAAAAAAAAAAAGAAGTATTAAAAGGAGTTTGCTTTTTAAGTTTCTGTAAAATCAATTCCTACTTTCCTCTTTCCGGCAGACAATTTTCACCCTCTCCTACCATAGGTTTTAGGCTTTTCATGATCAAGTGACCCTAAAGCCACACAAAGCACTATGATATATATACCTGGAATGGGTAACAAAACAGCTAAGTCCACAACAGTCAATCATAAAATGCCTTGTCTGTATATTAATATGGAACCTGGGCATCACAAGCTGCTCATTTTCTTGGCTCCAATAAAGCTATTTTTGCAGTGAGGTACTCAGGGGCAATCATACAGATTTAGTCTTTAAAAATATTTAGAAATTATGAAAACAGTAATCAAAAACTTAACATAGGCCAGGTACAGTGATTCACACCTGTAATCCTAGCATTTTGGGAGGCTGAGGCTAGGAGTTCGAGACTCTACCTGGGAAACATAAGCAAGACCCTGTCTCTAAAAAACAAAACAGGAAAATAAGGCACTTGTATATGTTTTAATATCGGTTTATGTGGCTACTGCTAAAGCTTTACTGTTGTACAGGAGGCTTTTACAATTACCTGAGTCCGGTGATATTTGCTTCGACTATATTGTTTAACTCAGAAAAGCAATACAAATTAAAAACAAAATTATCAAGCTGACCAAAATCCTCTGTGATTTGGAAAGCTGAAATCTTAAGGTTTTTTGTTTTTTATTTTTTTGAGATGGAGTCTTGCTTTGTCACCCAGGCTGGAGTGGTCACAGAAGTATGGCTATCATTGCTGGCGTTATTGTTGCAAAGGAATTGTGACTCCAAAGTCCTGGTTCTCTTCACAAAAACGACAACAGAGCCACTGTGGGAAGGCAGACAGGGCCCTGCTGTGAACCCCCAGGCCTGGGAAGGTAAGTGGCATGATCTCAGCTTATTGCAACTTCCTGCCTCCTGGGTTCAACCAATTCTTCTGTCTCAGCCTCCCGAGTAGTTGAGACTACAGGCAACTGCCACCGTGCCCGGCTAATTTTTGTATTTTTAGCAGAGACAGGGTTTCACCATATTGGTCAGGTTGGTTTCGAACTCATGATCTCAGGTGATCCGCCCGCCTCAGCCTCCCAAAGCGCTGGGATTACAGGCATGAGCTACTGTGCCTGGCCAAAAAAATCTTAAATTTTATTAATATGAAGTATATTAAAATAATTCTGTATTAAAATAGTCTTTAAAAACCATGTCCATATGTAGATATCTGCACAAACCTTGTTAATGATAGACTTTGTGGCAATCCACAGATCAAAAATGAAGAATAACCTTTGCTTAGAGCCTAATGGTCGGCTGGTCTGGCTGGTTTACTATACTAGTTTATGTACTAACAGCATTTGATAATCATGTGATCTACCACATTTATAATCACCACTAACTGTGAGTGTTATGCCTGTTTCATATTTCTATACCTCAATTAGAAATAAAAGAAATCCCAAAACATCAATATAATCATTTCTTTCCTGTTTATATAAACAATATATATATCCATGTCTTCTGTGGAAGCAGTAAAGAAAATGATGAAATATAAAGAAAGGAAGAAAATAAAAAATCAGCTGTAACTTCCAATCCAGAAATAATCAAAAGAACACATGGATATAGCGTAATCCATTTTTTAAAATGTGCTCAGGCAACAATTAGAAAGCATATTAAGAGACCTATGTGCAACTTGACTGGTGTCAGAGGTACCGCTTCACATCATCATGTAATGTGTATGTGGAAGTCATTGTAAGAAGACAGAACACCATCACATGTATGCATCATGTGGATACAACTAATAATTACAAGTTGTATAATTAACGTCCTCCCACAACGTCCTGAGGTGAAGGTCACATGACAGAATCATGGCTATCACTGCTGGGGTTACTGTTGCAAAGGAATTGTGACTCCAAATTCCTGGTTTTCTCCACAAAAACTAAAATGGAGCTACTGTGGGAAAGCAGACAGGGCCCTGCTATGTGCCCTCAGGTCTGGGAAGGTTGAGGAGGCTTGATCCTCCCAGCCTTGTCTGTAGTGTTTCTACTGCACAGCCCCTTGCTGGAGAGTTGCCACATTCAACCCCGGGTGCAATGAAATACTGCCGTGTCTGAGCAATACCCATTCTTTCCAAAGCTTCACTGTCTACTATTTAAAGTTACCCTTCTCAGGGTGATTCTTATATTTTAAACTTAAAGACACTAGATTTCAAGATGCTGTAACCCACAAATACTTAATCATACTAGTTTTGCTATTTTTAAATTAGCAGGTCTATTAAATTGAAAAGATCTCTAAAGTATTACTTATCCAATCTAATGTTTAAAATGGCAAATGCATTAAGTTAGACTGTCTAAGGTACTTATATAGCCTCTTTAACATTTTCCTGAGTTATCAGTTTACTTATTAAATATGAACTTATGATCAAAAATGAGAAGACAAAAAAAAAAAAAAAACAGGTTTAAAATAAAATCTATGTTGAGAAACATGAAGAGAGATGGGTTCCATGGGCTGAAAGACCTAGAACCTACACTTAATATCATTCTGTGCATTCAGTAATCAACAAATTTCCCAAGACAGACAAATGATGCAATAAACTGCAGACCAGGACCAAGGCGAGGCCATAGCCAAGCAGTTATAAATTTGAGAGGCCTCCTTACTTGTCTAGCAGCGAAGTTTTGGGGGTTGAGCCCTGTGCCGATTGCTCCAAGGCTGACGTTGGGTAGTGTGGAACCAGAGGGAGACAGCTTGTAGCTGGGAGAAGGGGAGAAGGGAGAGCAGGGAGCCTCATCCCCAAGGCACCCATCTTGATTGGAGAAAGGCAAAGTCAGCTGAAAAGTAGTAGGAGTTAGCCAATCACAACGAGTGTTGGTTAGTGAAGCAACAGAATGCAAGAAGGGAAAAGAGAGAAATACTAGCAACAAACAAAGTTAGAGTGTATTAGCAATAACTGAGGATGGAATTTGGATCTGATCATAATCTTTACACTCGGCCCGACAGACACCATCTGTCATCTTCTTTGATATAGATTTTTGTTTTCTTCTAAGTTAGTAACATGTTCTATCCATTGCATTAAAATAAAAATTGCCAGACACTTTATTTTTATGCATCTAATATTGATTACTCTAGCGATGTGGTTGTTGCAACAGAAGCCAGGGCAATCTTGTGACTATGTTGCTGTCTGGACCAGCATCAACAGTGTCAAAGCATGCCAGATTTAAAAATTTTGGTTTTAACTGCTTTCTGAAGACCAGGAAAACAGCAAATTGGTATTCTGAATCAAGATATACTTCCCACCATTAGAAATATTAAACATCAAAACCAACAGGCAGAAACTACTTGGTTAAATTAGGTAGCTGAGAATTTGAAAAGTATACCATTGTAACTAATCACAGATCCCTAGGGAACTGGGGAAAGGTAACAACAGAGTTCTCTCAAAACTAGAAGGCAAGGCCTTAGGAGACATGGAATATTTGGACAAAATCCCAAAATTTATTTTGTAGCTATAGAGCAGCAGAAAAAAGTATTCAGAGTAAGTTTATCTCTAAAATTTCCACACTTCATGAAATTTCTCAAAACTCAGGTTTTCTTCCTAATACAGGCTAAAAACAGATGGTTCTTGCTCTTGCCTAATCACCTGTTGACACTGGTGGTTTTCAGGTCACCACTTTAATGCAGGTGATGTCTGTGTTTTGCTCTCTAGTTCAGTAATTAAATGCTTCCTCCAGAATCAGTTATCAAAAGACAAATGGGAACCAAAGCGGTTCTCATGAATTATTATCTTAAACAAAGGATTTAACTCACCTTCTCAAAATAAGGCCCACTATCTGTGGTTCCCATGTCTTTGGAATTAGGTGGACGGAACCCAGATCGATCCTTCCTCATGATATCGTTAAAATCCCCGAGATTCATTGCTCGCTTGTCCACATCAAACTTTTTATCTGAAAGGCTTCCTAAAAAGTAGCACAAACAGAGTGAAAATTTCCAGAATCAATGTTTCCCCCATGAACCGAGAGGGACCTGCCCCATTAGCTTCATGGGGGTGCCAGGTGTGAACTATTAACATTTCTATTTCTGGGGATATGACCAGATAAACTCTCATTGGTCTAGGCTACTGGTGTTTATCCCTAGAACACACATAAGTCTTTTTAATAAAAAATAAAACAAAACATGTTATGTGTTATAGCTTGTTTTCCATTGAAGACTGAAAGAGTCTGAGGGCTAACCTGGAAAAAAATCTGGCTAAGAAAACATTTAGACTGGTTATTGATGTGTTTGATGAACACATCTTGCTCATAAATTCAAATGTCCTCAGGGAGAGAAGTTGTCTGTTTTTGCAATTTTAGCATCAGCTACATTAATGGTCTGTGTGAAACACAGTTATTAGGAATAAAAAGGTCAAGGAGGCACAGTGGTTGCCCTAAAATTTAGAACTTAAGAATTGAACACAGAAGATGTGTCCACATTACCGACATGGTGCAATTTCCCGGGTGCCACGACTTTACCACTTTTCTTTCACAGCTCTATAAATTCGCTGTTGTTTGCTGATATAACCAGTTGCTCCCCGAGGAAACTTATGTTTTAATTATTCTCGTATTTAGAAATATCATAGATCAAAGACCACCTACGTACTTTACTACCCATAAAAAGAAACTAAGAAGTTTCTTTTTAAGTTCCTCAGAGTGATCAAGAACATTACTACAAAAATCTCACAGACTGATAGCTAACACTGCATCCACTCCAGCTGCAATGTGAGAGTTTGTCAATAATGCAGCTTCTAGGTACAGACAGGACTGGCAACTTGAGGGCCGTATCTGGCACATAATTTTTTGGCCCCATAGAGCATTTAAAGAGATCTGAATTAGTTCTAGTATTTAAAAATCAGGCTGCATGCAGTGGTTCACACCTGTAATCCCAGCACTTTGGGAGGCCAAGGCAGGCAGATTACTTGAGGTCAGGAGTTTGAGACCAGTTGGCCAATATGGTAAAACCCCGTCTCTACTAAAAATACAAAAATTAGCTGGGCATGGTGGTGCATGCCTGTGATCCCAGCTACCTGGGAGACTGAGGTGGGAGAATAGCTTGAACCTGGGAGGTGGAGGCTGGAGTGAGCAGAGATCGCGCCACTGCACTCCAGCCTGGGCGACAAAGTGAGACTCAGTCTCAAAGAACATATAAATATAAAAATAAAAATCAGAATGGCAGGACACATCTGAATTTCTGGCCTTTCCTGAAAGACTTGTCATAGCTCAGTTGGATTCTTCCAGAGCAGCAACTGCCAGGAGCCATGCAAGGCTGATTCTTCCAGGTGGACTCTCCACAGTTAACTTGTGGCCATCTCATCCCAGGTTCTTATACCTTGCACACATCACTCATTTTCATTCTTTCCTGACTTTTGCAGTCATCTGAGTTTTCAGTCCTACCTAGTGTTTGGCACAGTACCTTACAAAGAGTAAGAGCTCAATAAATGTCTACTGAACTGCACCCATCCCAACTCAAACTGGGCAGGAGATGCCAACAGGACGTCATAACACTGATATACTTCATTCCTTTCAGCGGAGTGATACACACCTACAGACAAATCCATTTTGCTGCTTGGATTATCTTCAGTCTGACTCTGAAAAATCAGGAACAGATGAGAGAGAATTAAGGATGTATGTCTTTGAATCAGAGAAGTGGCATTATTCACCTGAGAGCCACACCTTACTACTGGCACTACAGAAGTTCCTCTGAAGTGAACTTAATGGTAATGAAGACATTAACTTTTTTTTTTTTTTTTGAGACGGAGTTTCGCTCTTGTTACCCAGGCTGGAGTGCAATGGCACGATCTCGGCTCACCGCAACCTCCGCCTCCTGGGTTCAGGCAATTCTCCTGCCTCAGCCTCCTGAGTAGCTGGGATTACAGGCACGCGCCACCATGCCCAGCTAATTTTTTGCATGTTTAGTAGAGACGGGGTTTCACCATGTTGACCAGGATGGTCTCGATCTCTTGACCTCGTGATCCACCCGCCTTGGCCTCCCAAAGTGCTGGGATTACAGGCTTGAGCCACCGCGCCCGGCCAACATTAACATTTTTAATATGCTAGCCTGATTGCTGCTTGGGCCTATATTCTCACAATTCAGCTTTAACATGCAATTAGTCTGAATGCATCTACAAAGAGAGCCATAGATAAACAGCTGCCTGAAGAAATAAACCCTTAAGTTCTGTCCTTAAGTTCTAGTCAGCCCAGGATCAAATTCCGTGAGTGGTAGCCAAATGATGACAACTTCTTCTCGTGACTTGTCAAGTCATCAAATCCTCAACTGTGCAGCCAAGTAAAGTCATTTGTCTTTTGGCAACCAGGGACAGGGTGTCCCCACACCATTCCCCACAGATAAAGAAACCAGAAATTCTACAAGAATTCTCTATGTAATTAGTCTCAATATAGTTTTTCTAGTTATTTGGTTATTGTTGCCTTTTAAAAACTTGTAATATGAAAACTAATACAGTAATGTGGTCAGAAACAATTGTATACATTTTAAGTGCCTGACTCTTCTCTATTCTCCTAAGGAAAAGGACACAATCACTACAAATTTAAAAGCCATAACTTTTAAATGTTGGAGTATGTCATTAAGAATAAAATCCCAGGCCGGGCACGGTGGCTCAAGCCTGTAATCCCAGCACTTTGGGAGGCCGAGGCGGGTGGATCACGAGGTCAAGAGATCGAGACCATCCTGGTCAACACGGTGAAACCCCATCTATACTAAAAATACATAAAAATTAGCTGGGCATGGTGGCTCTTGCCTGTAATCCCAGCTACTCAGGAGGCTGAGGCAGGAGAATTGCCTGAACCCAGGAGGCAGAGGTTGCGGTGAGCAGAGATCGCGCCATTGCACTCCAGCCTGGGTAACAAGAGCGAAACTCTGTCTCAAAAAAAAAAAAAAAAAAAAAAAGAATAAAATCCCAGAAAAGAAATACTGCTCAATTCAAAATATCAAAAACATTGCTTAACTAGTTTTTAAATCTGTAATTTTGTACTTACTATATATGTAGCAGTGGTCTTAAAATCTGTATTAAACCTAAAAGTTGGGATACATTATACATTTGAAAAAAATAAAACTTACCAGCAATCCCATATTTGAAAACTGTTTGGCAAGAGGATTCATCCATGAATCACTGTTTCCTCCTTTAAGTGAGCACTACAGAAACGAAACACATAACCTCAGAACCAAATAATTTATTTCAACCTTCTGAGTTTTATTAACACAGACTGAAAATGTAGACTAGAATTTACCTTTTTAAATCCTATTTAACTAAAAGTATTTTGATATTTTGTTAGTTTAAATAAGTCCTAGTTATATCTATGTTTGCATTTTTATAAAATTCACCTCACTGAAATATAATTGGAAAAACACATGGTCAGCTGGTACTTCTACTTTTTAAACAGAAAGAAGTCTGATGTGATTTTCTGAAATCTAAGTTTTGCACATGACTACTTTCACTTTTATTAGGCTGCTCTCCTTGTAACCCAAACTGGTTTATGTTAGGAGAAAAGAGTTTGATGTGAGTGCGTGCCATCTGGAAAGGGGCCTATTTAAACCGGACATTATGAGGAACTTGTGGTGCTTCATCTGCTTGTTTCACAGCATAAAAGACATTGGTTCTGGTGGTAAAGAGACCCAGTGGAAGAAACCATTGCTGATCTCCTGGACAAAGAAGGGCAGAGGTAGGTTTTAATTTTTTAATGGGACAAACTAGTTTCTTCCCTGAACAAGGCACTGACCATGAGCTCCACTTTCACTTCTGTGAGGGAGGCAGGTGGAACTGTGAGGAAGAATTGGTGGGGTGCGGCTTTGTGCACTTGTGTATTTCACATGTAAAAATTCTCTGTTATGATGATAGCTATCAAATCAAGTTTATTATCCTTGAAAGTGATGAAGTACTTTAGTACAGTTTTTTTTTTTTTGAGACGGAGTTTCGCTCTTGTTACCCAGGCTGGAGTGCAATGGCGCAATCTCGGCTCACCGCAACCTCCGCCTCCTGGGTTCAGGCAATTCTCCTGCCTCAGCCTCCTGAGTAGCTGGGATTACAGGCACGCACCACCATGCCCAGCTAATTTTTTTTGTATTTTTAGTAGAGACGGGGTTTCACCATGTTGACCAGGATGGTCTCGATCTCTTGACCTTGTGATCCACCCGCCTCAGCCTCCCAAAGTGCTGGGATTACAGGCAGTACAGTTTTTTTTTTTTTTGAGACGAAATCTCGCTGTCACCTAGGCTGTGTAATCTTGGCTCACTGCAACCACTGCCTCCCGGGTTCAAGCAATTCTTCTGCCTCAGCCTCCTGAGTAACTGGGACTGCAGGTGCATGCCACCATGCCCAGCTAATTTTTGTATTTTTAGTAGAGATGGGGTTTCACTATATTGGACAGACTGGCCTTGAACTCCTGACCTTGTGATCTGCCCGCCTCGGCTTCCCAAAGTGTTGGGACAGGTGTGAGCCACTGCACTGGCCTTTTTTTTTGAGACTGAGTTTTGCTCTTGTTGCCTGGGCTGGAGTGCAATGGTATGATCTCGGCTCACTGCAACCTCCGCCTCCTGGGTTTAAGCAATTCTCCTGCCTCAGCCTCCCCAGTAGCTGGGATTACAGGGGTCTGCCACCATGCCTGGCTAATTTTTCTATTTTTAGTAGAGATGAGGTTTTGCCATGTTAGCCAGGCTGGTCTTGAACTCTTGACCTCAGGTGATCTGCAGGCCACGGCCTTCCAAAGTGCTGGGATTACAGGCATGAGCCACTGTGCCCAGCTAGTATAGGTTTTGATGTCAAAAAAGGCCTCACTAGAGTGAGGGGAGAATGGGAAGTTACTGTTTAACAGGTACAGAGTTTCAGTTTTTTAAGATGGAAAGAGTTCTGTGGATAGACGGTGGTAAATGGCAGCCTAAGTATATTTATATACTTAATGCCACTGAACTGTACACTTAAAAATGTACGCTATGAGGCCAGGTATGGTGGCTCACATCTGTAATCCCAGCACTTAAGAGGGCAGATCACCTGAGTTCAGGAGTTCAAGACCAGCCTGACCAAAATGGAGAAACTCCACCTCCACTAAAAATATAAAATTAGCCAGGCATGGTGGTCTATGCCTGTAATCCCAGCTACTCGGGAGGCTGAGGCAGGAGAACCGCTTGAACCCAGGAGGCGGAGGTTGCAGTGAGCTGATCATTCCATTGCACTCCAGCCTGGGCAGCAAGAGCTGAACTGTCAAAAAAAAAGAAAAGAAGGTACACTACAGTAAATTTCATGTTGTATGTATTTTATCACAGTTCAAACAAACAAACAAACAAAAAAACCACCTTCAATATGCGAAGTCAGAATCACTGGTACTGGGGCTGAAAGATTCAATTCCCAGTTAACTTAATTAAATCTTGGTTGTCAATGGAGTGGGGTATTTATTAGTTGCTTTCAATCAGTTGACTTAGTCTCATTGTTAATTTGTAAATAATCGTAAGAAAGCCAAAATCACACTAGACAACCTAAGAGTGCGACGAATGCTGAAAAGTTTGCTGAATAACTCCTTCTGTTGACTAGAATAAAGAAACAAAAGCTTTTAATAGAAGAAAAATTATAAGTGATTGCTTAAGCAAAACATCTCTAAATAGAAACAAACTGTATTCTTATGCTATAAAAGAAAGGGTCGCCTATAAAACGTAAGGGCAAAGGCGATGAAGGCCCAGTCCTCAGACATGGGAAGGCCTCTAAGACGGCATCCGGCATTTGAAACGCAGGAGAATATTAGCTGTGAAACATTTCATAGGGTGCCAAGGCTCTCATGTTGAAATTAAGTAATGGATGCCCACTTATTTACACTATAGTATTTGTTGAATGAAAATCTGGAATTGAAAAAAGAGAGTGTCTGCCAAGACACTGGTTCAGGTTCAAAGACTACTGTTCCAGATTAAAAACCAAAGTCCTCATCAAACTGAGCAAACTGAAGGAGAAAGTGAGTTGCTACGAGACACAGAAGGTGGAAACTTTAGCACACCACCTGGTATAGAATGTAGAGAAAACATCTAGCTGCTATATAGCACGCAAGCACACATTGGTACTTCATTTGTTGGAAGAAGGGTTCTGGGCCTTGGAATTTCCCAAACAGATAAAATCAAGACATGCTGATCGCCATGGGAGAAGCCAGCATTATCTTCCTTTGGATTCCCTCCTACATATCTACAGGGATTTACTGGAAGGACTTCTTTGGCTTTAGAATGCAAAAGCATTCATAAAGTATGCCTTGAAAGCCTACAACAGATTATTAAAATGTGGAAAATAAAAATGAAAAATATCTCATATCTTTGAAAATTTCATTTTACCCACAGCAACAGTTTTGTAGTTCAAGGTCATGGGAAAGGAAGACAAAGGCTAAAAGGGAACTTGTTATTTGTTTGCAAGAAAATATTTTTCCCCTTACTTAGGACTCTCAAGGACCCCAGCTGCCTCACACCTTTCGCTTAAAAATCCTGTTTCTGCTAGGCGCAGTGGCTCATGTCCGTAATCCCAGAACTTTGGGAGGCTGAGGCAGCAGAATTGAACCCAGGAGTTTGAGACCATCCTGGGCAACATGGTAAAACCCTGTCTCTATTTAAAAAGTACAAAAATTGGCCAGGTGTGGTGATAGTTCCAGCTACTAGGGAGGCTGAGATGGGAGGATTACTTGAGCCCAGGAGGTCGACGCTGCAGTGTGTCATGATTGTGCCACTGCACTCCAGCCTGAGTGACAGAGTGAGAACTTGTCTCAAAAGGAAAATAAATGAAAACAAAACCTCAGTTCTGCCTTCCCAGAGCGAATGAGCAAGCGTGAACATTTCTAAGGCAGGCTACCTTCATTTGTTTCTTTCCTCCTTGTCCCCAGCTTGCCGAGTTGTGGGAGGAAGCACTGCCCTGAGAGCCAGTGGTGTTCCAGACTCCTCCATCCTCCTCCTCTTCCCAGCTGGGATGGCGAGTTCCTGTGACTGGCCCATCACTCTCCCCCCAGCCGTCTTGCATAGATTTGGAATCTTAAAGGAAAGAATAAATTAACTCTTTGCAACAGCTATATAAAACAATCATCAGAATAATAATTGCTTGCAGATGCAGCATTTTAGTGTCTTTGTAATTTTATCTAGTCCATCCACATGGCAAGGCAAATACTATTACTCATTTTCTAGAGGTAAGGAAACCAAAACCCATAAAGCCTCAATGATACACAGAAAGCTAACAAACCACAGAATCAAGACCTCCTGACATCTGGATCAATGCTTTTTCCCTTGCACCAAGCGGAAAAGAATTTCAAAACTGAAAATAACTTATCACAACATTCCGGTCAAGAAATTTCACATCTCAATTAAGAGAAATCTGTCCCTCTTAATGAGCTGTAGCCCTGGTTTTATTCTATTTAGTATGTGCTTTATATGCAATGGACACTACAAATATGAGGTATGATAAAGGACAACTGTCTAGCTTGTTTGCAGTGAAGCAGAGAAAAACAACATAAAAAGGGGAAAATTTTTAAGATTTTGAATATCAAAATTATGGTGAAAGAAGAAAAATTTACATACAGCCACAGAAATATGAAAGGTATTAGAACTATATACTCGAAATGTATTAGATACCAAGGAGGCAAAGAATATAAAATGTGGAGGATAGGGAGAGGAAGGGAGGAAAGAAAGCAGAGAGAAATCAAAGAGGCTTTAATGTTTGAAAAAGTGGGACATCAGTATCCCATTCTAAACAATGATTTTTAATTTGAAGACTGGATTGAGTCCTTAATTTCCTCTGAAAATACTGTACAGAATCAAAACATACTTTGCATTAATGATACTGTACAAAATGATGAAAGAAAAGGAACTACATTTTCTTGCCTGGAAACTTCCATCTACACCTCTACTTTCCCACATGGCAGGACATTTATGAAAGTTTCTGATGTGTACATTATTTTATATGAGGAGATTAAGGGCAGAAAATCAGCTTTTCCAGGCCTTTCCTTGAATGACAGCTGCCACCCTGTAGAACCAGGCCTATGATAGTCAAGTAGGTTCGCACCAAGTACATAAGGCACAGGGCAATTAATTTCTTCTAACTGTGGCATCTCATCCCCCAGCAAGGCCCAGGTGGAGACTGATAGTCTCCCAGTGGGGTTCACTGTAGCCACAGGAAGGGGCTTTCTGTCTGTGTACAAGAGGCAGGGTTGGGATGCTCTTCTTCCTGCTGCTGGAAGTGCTGCTGAGAACCATGACCGCTGCCTTTGTATACAGGATTATAAATTTATATAATACCGTATTTATGATTTGTATTATATAAGCATAGGCTTTATACCATCCACCGACAAGCAACAGGACTTATTAAAACCCAATATAAAGAACATACCTACCTCTTTAGAAAAATGAAGACATGCAAGTGAACCTTTCTTTTAGAGAGAGAAGCTGAACTTCTAACAAACATTTCTTATAGAAAAGATAAGAGAGGTCTAATTTTTAATGATAGGATTCATAACATCAAATTTAAGACACTTGCAGGCTAGAGAAGATCACAGGGTAACTGCATCAACTGGTAGACTACGATGGTTTAGCCCCTTCTTCTGCACATTACACATTCAGCTTATCCAGAGAAAGGATGTGTGCTGTAACTACTGATGACCCTCAAAAGTAGAAGACATTTCTAGAATCTGAGGAAAAGTGAGGGTTTTGTGACAGAAGAGAGGTGATCCTGAGGTTGGGAAACACACATAAAAATCCTGAATATACTGCTAAAGGATCTCTTTGTGCCCAGGGTCTGATTTATGTCTTCCAACAGCTTTTTGGATCTATTTCAAGTATACTAGGTTACATTTCCCATGATGATACAACTGATTTCACAATGGAAATAATGATAAAAACAAAATCTTCATAAAGATAGCTATTTTAATGAAGTCGAGGAGGTTCACAGTTTTTAAAATTAGTCAAGTTACTATGTGTGAATTTCCAGAATAGAGCTAATATCATATTCCCTTATGTAACACTGTAAAAGTCCTGAATATTATACGATAAACTTATATCGTATAATAGTCAGGAAATAAATTCAGAAAATTTATTTTCTTGTTCAAAGTTTGGTCATTCCAGAAATTTTCATTATTTAGTCAAAAGATAATCCCTTAAATCTGCTATATGGGAAAAAAAAAAGAGAGAGAGAGAGAGAAGTTGGAACATTTTTGTGAAAGTTACAAAAATAAGTGGAAACAGGCACTTGAAAATTGAATTTTTCAATTTAGGAACATCCAATGAGACGTTCCACAGCCTCAGGCTAGAGTTCTGCTAATTACTGTGACCACGTATCGCCAGCTGGATCAGGTACAGCTTAGATTTTCAATGATTCTGAATAAGTGTGATGTTCATTTAAGAAACCTGAAGTGAAATTTATGCCAGGGTCAAAAAACCTCTAATGATCTTATGTGGAAGAAGAGAGGCCAAAGGCAAGGAAAAGTACAGAAGGATGAAGTCACTGGGCAGCAGAAACCATGTTCCACATTAAAAGCCAGAGGACTCTTGTTTTAAATTATACTAACAAACGAGCAGAAATGCAAGCTAGACATGGTGAACACAGTCACTGGGCAAAAAGAGCACCACATCAAATTACAATTCTGTCCAGATACTAAATTTAAAACAAAATCAACAAAATTAACTTATGATTTTTAGTTCATCTTAAACATTTTAAGAAAGACCAAGCCAAGCTACAACTATTTGCTATTAACTAATTATTTAACACTAAAGGTCCGGAATCTCATTGAATCAACAGTTTAAAACTAAAGAGCCCTCACCAAAATGTCAGATGCTCAAAGTAACAACGAATCCCAGCCAGGCCCAGTGGCTCACGCCTGTAATCCCAGCACTTTGGGAGGCCGAAGCGGGTGGATCATCTGAGGTCAGGAGTTGGAGACCAGCCTGACCAACATGGTGAAACCCTGTCTCTAATAAATATACAAAAATTAGGTGGGTATGGTGACGGGTGCCTATAATCCCAGCTACTTGGGAGGCTGAGGCAGAAGAATCGCTTGAAGCTGGGAAGGGGAGGTTGCAGTGAGCAGAGGTTGCACCACTGCACTCGGGCCCAGGTGACAAGAGTGAAACTCTGTCTCAATTAAAAAAAAAGAAGAATCTCTCAAAAATGAAAAGCTTCACACTTACTAGGCTTCATGGCATTGGGAGCGTTGGCGGGCGTGTTCCCCCAGCCTGTGGTCGATGCTCCTGTATCATCCATCTCGCCCCACCCAGGACTGCTTTCATTTGGCTCACCCCAAGCGGAAGTACCATTATCTGGAGCAGGTGGTGTGCTTTTGCTCCAGACTATAAAGAAAGGAAATGTCTCTAAGAATCATTTGTGAAATGAAATGCCAGAATATCCGATGGGTGATGGTGGAGGGAACAGGCATGCCTACACTCTGTTGGCAGAAATGTAAACAGATTCAACTTTCATGAGGGGCATTTAAAAAAAAAAATCTGATGCACATTAAACTTTTGACCCAGTAACTCCACTGACAGGAGAGTTTTTTTTTTTTTCTTTTTTTTAAACAGAGACTCAGTCTGTCACCCAGGCTGGAGTACAGTGGCATGGTCTTGGCTTACTGCAACCTCCACCTCCTGGCTTCAAGCGATTCTCCCACCTCAGACTCCCAAAGTAGCTGGGATTACAGGCACGCACCACCATACCCAGCTAATTTTTGTACTTTTTTTTTTTTTTTTTTTTTTTTTTTTTAGTAGAGACGAGGTTTCACCATGTTAGTCAGTCTGGCCTCAAACTCCTGACCTCAAGTCAGGATCCACCTGCCTCAGCCTCCCAAAGTGCTGGGATTACAGACATGAGCCACCACACCCAGCCTGCCAGGAAATTACACCACATGTACACTTGTAAACAAACAGAGATGAAATTACATGTATAACAATACTCACTGCATCACTGATAGAAAAAATTTGGAAGCAACCTAAATATTCACCACAAGGGGACTGGTTAGACAAACTGTGGGTCACTCATTAAAGAAATATCAAATATGGGCTGGGTGTGGCGGCTCACGCCTATAATCCCAGCACTTTGGGAGGCCAAGACGGGTGGATCTCCTGAAGTCAGTTCAAGACCAGCCTGACCAACATGCCAAAACCCCGTCTCTACCAAAATACAAAAATAAGCTGGGCATGGTGGCGCGTGCCTGTAATCCCAGCTATTTGGGAGGCTGAGACTCGCTTGAACCCGGGAGGCGGAGGTTGCAGTGAGCCGAGATTGTGCCACTGCACTCCAGCCTTGGCAACAGACTGAGACTCCATCTCAAAAAAAAAAAAAAAAAAAAAAGAAAGAGAGAGAAAGAATAAAGAAATACCTTATATGAAGCAATTAAGCCGCATACTATGTGCTAAAATGGAAAGCTTGTAAGTACAATGAGAAAAGCGAGGTGAAGAACAGTATGTAAAGTACAATCCCTTCTCTGTAAAACTTTTGAATGGGACACAAACTTCTAAGAGATTACCTATGGGAAGAGACCCAAAAGATTAAGATTCCTTTACTGATTATCTTTCGCTTTCACAGACAGTTTGAAGGTTTTTGCTATGTGGATATAGTTTTTAAAAAATTTTAGCAGGTTTTATTCTGGATGAGGAGTTACTGAGCAATGTTCATTTCCTTCTGCACTGTTTTCAATACTTGAAAAAAGAATGAGTTAAAAGTAATTTTTTTTTTTTTTTGAGAGGTAGCCTCACTCTGTTGTCCAAGCTGGAGTGCAGTGGCCCGATCCAATCTCAGCTCACTGCAATCTCCACCTCCAGGGTTCAAGCGATTCCCCTGCTTCAGCCTCCTGAGTAGCTGGGATTATAGGCACGTACCATCATGCCAGGCTAATTTTTGTATTTTTAGTAGAGACAGGGTTTCACCATGTTTGTTAAGCTGGTCTCAAACCCCTGACCTCGTGATCTGCCCACCTTGGCCTCTCAAAGTGCTGGGAATACAGGCATGAGCTACCACGCCCAGCTAAAAGTAATTATTTTTCTAAGTGGCCATAAATGGATTAGCTGAACACTAGAGGTGTACTCTGAGAAAATTGATTCTTGGCAGGGCACAGTGGTTCACGCTTATAATCCCAGCACTTTGGAAGGCCACAGCAGGTGGATCACCTGAGGTGATCCACTTTCACTCTGGCCAATATGATGAAACCCAGTCTCTACTAAAAATACAAAAATTAGCTGGGCGTGGTGGCAGGCACCTGTAATCCCAGCTACTCGGGAGGCTGAGGTAAGAGAATCACTTAAACTTGGGAGGCGGAGGTTGCAGTGAGCTGAGATCGTGCCACTGCACTCCAGCCTGGGCGACAAAGTGAAATTCTGTCTCAAAAAAAACAAAACAAAACAACAACAACAAAAAAAAAACAAAAAAACAAAAAACAAGCAAACAAAACCCTGATTCTTAAAATTATCATGAATTTTAACGAAAAAAAGACTGAAAGGTGCATCCCCCCTAATTTGTTGAACTATATGCTTTACAGGGACATTCAAGTTGACAATGACAAACTAAGAATGGCATTACCATTGCTACTTTTACCAGGTATGATGTTTCCTATTAAAATAGTGAGGGAAGAAAGTTTAATTCTGGGCAACTGATTATCCTAACAATCTCGTGTTGTTTTTTTCTTTTTTTCTCCAACAGGGTCTCACTCTGTCGCCCAAGCTGGAGTTGCAGTGGTCTGATCCTAACTCCCCAAAGCCTCCATCTCCAGGACTCATGCGATACGCTCACCTCAGCCTCTCGAGTAGGTGGGACTATAGTGGCATATGCAGCATACTCAACCAATTTTTAAATATATTTTTGTAGAGACTGAAGTCTCTCTAAGTTGCCCAGGTGGTCTCAAACTCCTGGACTCAAGGGATCCTCCTGGCCCGGTCTCCCACAGTGCTGGGATTACAGGTGTGAGGCACCTCACTAGGCCTGAGATAACAATCTCTTATAGAAAGTACTCCCATTCCAGAAGCAATCATTACAAATCATCTGGAAAGAGACTGAAACCTTCCAGATACCAGCTTTGCTTCAGCATCATGATGGCCTCTGCAAAAAAACACAGAATATTTCCCTTTGCTGGGGAAACAGAAGCAGAGATGTCCACAGAGAAAACCAGAATGGAAAGCAGATCTATTTCTGCTACTACTTTAATTCTTTATTTTAAAATCTAGAACATAGTTTGTTCAGCAAGATATGTCTTTTGGATTCTGCAGACCAATACAATTACAGAAAAATAATTTTGGGGACTAACACAGGGTTGTCATCTTTTCCTTTTGCCAAGAAAAAACATTAAAATGTACTACCAGCATCTGCCATCACTAGCATTTTATAAAAAGAGGTTCTGTTAGCAACAGAATAGGAACTGTAGGAAAGCTTCTCAGAACAGAACTAAATTGAGTAAACGCACCTAATAAAAATGCCTCAGATTTCTTTTCTTCATCAAAAGCTGCCAGAAAAAGCCATAGCTTACCTGATGCTGATTTACTGGTCATTGGGGTGGGCAGGTTTGGTTCCCGAGGTGCTGGGCCCCCTTGGGAATTCTTATCCCACAGATTCACATTCTTGTAGTTATAACTGTTGGGGTCTCCCCATGCTGAAGTGCCATCATCAATGTCCATTTTCCTACTAATTGACTGTGGGGATGGCTCTTCCCAGCCACTGGGTTCCTCATCCTTAGGGGTTGCAGGCTGTGGCCCGCTGCTCCAGCTGGAATTGGAAGGTCGAACGCTGCCTGGAGGTGGTGGGGGTGGGCCTCCCCACGAACCAGAAGCCTCTGGTTGTGGTGGCGGTGGCTGCTGTGGCGGCTGCTGCTGTTGGTGTTGTTTATTCCAGGAATTGGGCTGTCGGCCTGTCTCATTCCATGCCGGGGATCTTTTGCAATCCTCCCATCCACCTTTCGAAGCGAGGCTTGCATTCCCACCGTTACCCCAAGTTCCGATTTCATTCTGCCCTCCTTCACCCCACCCAGACACAGGTTTACTTGCAGAAGTTTCCCAATTGCTGTTTTTTGCTTGATCTACTTCCTCTCCCCAACCATTCTTTCCAGAGGTCCATCCTTGATTGGGCTGGCGTCCACCTCCCCACCCCTGATCCTTGCTGGGATTCTCATTCCAAGAGGAAGATGTCTTTTCATCAGGTCGTCCTCCTCCCCAGTTAGAAGAGTTGTTGTTCTTGTAGTCATTCCAGCCTCCGGTGTTCTTGGGGTCTTTCCACTCTGTAGAGGCTGAGAGCTCCCCCCATCCAGACTTCATTTGATTGCTTTGGCTGGGTGCGTCTCCCCAGCCCCCTGAGTTCTTGGTCTGTGTGGCAGCGCTCTCCCACCCCTCAGTTCCTTTGTCAGATTTCCCCTCGGGCCTTGGCACCTCTTCAATGTCCCACACTGTGTCCTGCTTAATTTGAGTTTGGCCCCAGCCGGTGTTTGAGAGCACCCTGGGGTCCAAATCAGTTCGGCTCAAAAGAGTCTGCAAGACAGCCTGACAATCAGGATGTGTGGGCCTGTATGACCGACGGCCAGAGTTATGACTGTCGCTACTTCCTGCTTTGTGGTTGCTTCCAGTGCTTTGACCTCCAACTTCACTTCCTGTGGAGCTGGAAGATCTTCCCCAACAGGGAGCCTGGGCATTGCCTTGGTTTTCAGGGAGGGGGTGGCCCTTTTGATTGTCCCATGCTCCAGTGCTAGAATTTGGTTGGTTTGGACCACTCCATTCTCCAATTTTCAACTCATCAGACCCAGTCGGCTGTTTCCATTCTCCCTGAGAGACCCCAGATGTCATTTTGTTCCCTTCACCCCATTTGTTGTCATTAGAGTCCTGGGGGCCAAAGTTCCAGGACCCACCCGTAGACCTGTTATTGTTGTCCCAAGAGTCATTTTTTGACCCAGTTGATTTCTGAACAGAAGAAGCTCCTTTCCAGGAGTCCTCTCTCTCTTTTCCATTGTTCCCATTGTTTCCAGAATTGCTTTGTCCAGAGACTGTGTCAGTTCCAGAAGGCCCCCTAGCTGCACCCCAAGATCCAACACTCCCAGTCTTTCGATCTCCAGTGCTTTGTGAAGGGGCGTCAGTGCTCCTGGAGGTGTTCCCCAAGCCCATTCCAAAGGGCATTCCCTTATTCTCCATGGGGTTTGGTGAACTTAAGTTCAAGGAGTTAGTGTTTCCATTTTTTGGTCCATCAGTGTTATGAATTTGAGCCTGTTCTCTGCCAGAGACAACAAAATTAACACCCGCATTTTCCATCTTTGACTGCTGTTCCCTGGATGTCTGACCTACTGTGCTAACCTGTGCACTGGAATTACTATTATCTGTTTCCAATGCCCCTTTCCTAGAAGTTCCTTCTTGGACCAGTGCTGGCCAGGCAGATGGGTTGCTATTTGGGTTAAAGTTGCTGAAGCCAGAGCCAGGTCCAATTCTATCCTGACCACTCACATTCCTCCAATTTCCTAGTCCATTGTTCTCTGTAGTAGAGTTGGAAGATTGAACAGATTTAGCCTTAGGGTCAGATTTCCAGACCCCAAGATTACATTCGTTCCCAGAACTTGCAGACTGGCACTGGCTCCCTTTTCCTTTGTTACTAGTGGTGCTTCCTGGCAGAGTGCTCTTCTCAGAGCCAGGGTTCGAGGCACTGTTGTTATCGGTGGTGTTTTCGGAAGAAGATTCAGTGTCTTTGCTGGCAATACAAGGCCACTCTTCCATGTCAGACCCGTCTACAATCACCTTGTCCCAGATGTGAATTGGGTTGGGGGAGGTGCCGTTGTTGGAGGAGGCTCCCGAACCCCAAGTGGAATTTGCATAATTTGAAGCAGCAGCACCTCCAAGGGTTGACTCTGGGGAAGAGATCATCTTATTAATCACAGCTTCACACGCATTCATTACCCGTTAATACCGCAAAGGGGCTCTCCTTTGAGCTCTGCCCTTTGGAGAGCTAATCACATGTTAGTTTCTTTCAACCCAGTTGCCTATATCACAACTGTCTTAGTCATCTCTTCTTTTTCATTTGCCTTGTGTTATATCGGCTAAGTCTAACTTGACCTCTCTCAAAGCTACCTCCTTTGCCATTCCTACTGACAGGGAAGGGCCTTCTTGTGTCTTGGGACGAGGTAATAGCAATAGCACTGTACCTCCAATCTATTCTAAACACCCCTGGCTGGAGCAATTTTTCTAAAGCACACCTTTGATTATATCACTGCTGTATGGAGAACCTTCAACAGTTCTCTTAGTGCACAAGGATAAAGCTAAACTGCTTGGCCTGGAATTTCATCAGCATGCTCCATGACCTGGGACCAACCAACTTTATTCTAGTCTTTTCTACTACTTACTTTGTACATGTCCATATCCATACTACTTGACATTCCACAACTCGTGCCTTCTCACTGTGGCACCGTTCCATGTTGGCACCTACTGTGTTTTCCTCCTGAATTCACGTAGTGAAATTTACTTATCTTTCTGGGCCCAATTCAAGTGTCACTTCAGCTATAAAGCTATTTCCAAGCTTATCACCTGATTATAATCTTTCCCTGTCTAGAGCCTTCTTGCTCAGTGCTGTGGTACATGTTTACAACTTTCCTTCCCCATGTGAGCATCTTTTAGGTGGAGACCCTAACTTGCTAACGTTAGAATTCCACACAGCAGCCAACACAATGCTGCTTAGTAAGCATTTGCTGAACGATGAATACTCACTGAGCTAGGTGCCTGGGGTTGTGGCAGGGGGTGTCACACGAGTACAAATTAGACAGAGTTCACAACCCCAAGGAGCTTAATCTGATAAATGAGTCTGGCTCACCATATTATTTTGGTGGAATTTACCATATTTGGTGGCAAAAATATGTTTTTAATGAGATCATTTCTTCTAAATTTATTTAGCTTCTTTAACCAGGCAGCTTTTAATCAATTTGAAGTTCAAAAAAGAACTATACAGAAGCACAGAAAAATGAAAAAGCATAGAATCCCAAACTATTAAGATTTAGGGGCTTCCTTGGTTTTAATAATGTGGACTCTGACTCACACAGAACCCATGTCTCCACCTAGGTGTGGCTACACTCGGCTGCAGAAACTCCGCCCGACAGGACTGCCCCTTCACATGCTTCCTTTTGCAGCTGGTTAGGAGAAGCCAGGAAGGAAAGGGCTTATCTCTGCAGGAAGTCTGTGTCACCACAAGGTTTCTTTCCATCCTTACTCTGCACACAACAAGGTAGTGACTGAATTTTCTAGCAATTATTTGTTCAAACTCAGAAGTCAAATAAAGCATCCTACTGGTGACAACCATCAATCAATTCATTGTCTTTGCCAATGCTTAATGGTATTCAAGCTCTGAATTTTATTATCACCTCAAAAGACATTTTAAGTTGAAATCTGTTAGTAAACTTTAAAAGATATTTAGAATTTCTTAGCTGTTAGTTGACTTAGTGTTCATCTATTAAAAACACTCAAAACTTCTAGTAGAACCCTTTAGCTAAAGATCTCTTATTTCTATATATGGTTTTTAACAAAGCTCAAAATCCAGGGCCCTCAAAAGAAATACTGATTTTAAAAATCTAATGTAAAAACTATAGAATAGTATTATTTTAGAATCCTCCCAAGATTCTATTGCAATGTAACAAATCATTTTCTCTAACCTCCTAGAATTTTGGAAACGTAAAACAGACATCTAAAGATTCGCCTCCACACAAGCCCCAGATCCAATTATAGCCTGCACACATATGACAGTGGAACTATGGAGGCTCAAATTTATAACACTTGTCTGAGAAGAAAAAAAAGGCCCCCAAAATAATGAGCAACAGCAGCTACATTAGCCTCTCATGACGAGAGCACACACTTATGGAACACTAAATCCCAGTTCCAAGAATCACCAACACACATCCAATACTAGGATCCCCTCTCATCTTTTGGCTAATCCCAGTGGTTTATACAATTAATGGCTTTCCCAGACGTTACATCAGGCAATGCAAACCAAGCGCGCGCTCTCTCTCTCACTCTCTGTAAAGCTGCCATGCATTCGATCCACAGGATGTCTTACCTGGCGCAGTCCCACTCTCACTCTGCAGCAGCGCTCCTGTCACTTGTGCGTTGTTTGGGTTTGCTCCAGGTGCTGTGCAGGGAGGAGGCCCTGCCCCACCCCCGAGGAGCATGCAGGACGGTGGAGGGGGCTGCCCACGTTTTAGTAACACTTTGTGGTCCTGCTGGCAACGGAATCGCGGTGGCACCTCCCGAGGCATGTAGCGGGCGGCGCTTGGCGGTTGTCCGTTCGGCACTGCCACCCTTTTGGCATTGTTGCCACCATTGACTGGTGGCGATGGAGAGCTGCCAATTGGGCTGGCGGCCGTTGGTTGGCTTAAACTTGGTTTCGTCACTTCGGGCACTAAAAGAGAGGTTGGGAAACAGTCCCTGAAATACATCAAATACATTTTCCTAAAGATTTTAAAAATAATATTATTATTTTGTTTAGATGTGGGGTCTTGCCATGTTGACCACTCGGGTCTCGAACTCTTGGGCCCAAGAAATTCTCCCATCTCAGCTTTCCAAAGTGCCAGGATTACAGGAGTGAGCCACTGCACCTGGCCAAGATTATTATTATTATTATTATTTGATTATTATTTATTTATTCTATTTTTTTTTTTTGAGATGGAGTCTTGCACTGTTGCCCAGGCTGGAGTGCAGTGGCATGATCCCCACTCACTGCAACCTCCACCTCTACCTTCAAGCAATTCTCCTGCCTCAGCCTCTAAAGTAGGTGGGATTACAGGCGCCTGCCACCATACCCAGCTAATTTTTTGTATTTTTAGTAGAGATGGGGTTTTACTATGTTGGCCAGGCTGGTCTTGAACTCCTGAACTCATGACCTGTCTGTCTTGGCCTCCCAAAGAGCTGGGATTATACGTGCGAGCCACTGTGCCAGCCTCTTTTTTGTTTTTTTGAGATAGGGTCTTGCTGTATAACCCAGGCTGCAGTGCAATGATCTTGGCTCACTGTAACTTCTACCTCCAGGGCTCAAGGGATCCTCCCACCTCAGCCTCCTGAGTAGCTGGGACTACAGGCATGTACCACCATGCCCAACTTATTTTTTTCCCCCTAGAGAGACAGGGTTTACCATGTTTTGTACCTAGGCTGGTCTCGAATTCCTGGACTCAAGAAATCTACCCACCTAGGCCTCACAAAGTGCTGGGATTACAGGCATGAGCCACCATGCCTGGACCCTGTCCAAGATTGTTTTTAAGAAAGCTTACAAGATACCAATTCAAACAAAGTAACTTCTCCTTTTACTCTACTCTCAAGGGACACAGTTTTTCCAAATTCTTCACAATCTCTTCAGTTTATTAAAGGCAGGATGAAAGTGGCGGCTGATGGTGACAGGAAGTTTAACAAAGCAAGATCATGGAATACATTCCATTAATCAAGGGGGAGAGGCAAGTGATCATCATTTACTCGCCTAAATCAACATTAGAATTAATTCCCTGAAGTGCTGCCTAGAAGAGTTAAACGTCCATGGTAAAGTCCTTGGTAAAAGGTTCAAGCCTCAGTCCAAGGATCCCATCCCTTCATCCACATTCTTAAGAGATCTACCTCTGAGTAACCTTTCTTGAAGTCCCTGGCCTAGGTGGGCTAAAGTTCTTCCTAAGTGCTCCTGGAACACATCATCCATCTCTCTCTACCACCGAAATTCTCCATTTACAAGCCCTTCTCCCTTACCAGGCCATGACTTCCTGCCATGACTTCCTCAGGGCAAGGACCCATTTTTCATCTTTTCTTTTTTCTTTAGGGCATGGTACAAAGTACACTCGTACAAGGAACTCCAGGCCTGGGAAATCACAAATTCAGCTTGGTTTTGGTTTCTACAGCTACCTGGACTCAAAGACTTACACAGCTCTCTGTGTAAATACTAGAAATGATATAAATATGCTTTTATTAAAATTTTTTCCCCAATTCTTTAAGATAGAAATCACAAAATGTAGATAGTTTTTCTATTTACTTTAAATAATTTGATTTTGTTAACCTTAATTTTTACAATGGCCCATATACAGCACGGGAATGTGCAGGACAACCGTGAAACCACACCCTGCTGGACCCTCTGGCTCTCCCCCTCGAACCTACAGGGAAGGCTCTCTTAGATCTGCACCTCCCTCGCTGCATGCGGCCAAAAGATCACTACCCTCTCCATAAAAATCTACCTGGCATGCCTGTAATCCCAGCACTTTGGGAGACTAAGGCAGGCAGATCATTTGAGGTCAGGAGTTTGAGACCAGCCTGACCAACATGGGGAAACCCTGTCTCTACTAAAAATACAAAAAAATTAGCCAGGGTAGTGGTGCATGCATGTAATCCTAGCTACTTGGGAGGCTGAGGCAGGAGAATTGCTTGAACCCGGGAGGTGGAGGCTGCAATGAGCCGAGGTTGCTCCATGCATGACAGAGCGAGACTCCATCTCAAAAAAACAAAAAACAAAAACTACCTGGCAAATAAAGGTTGGAAGTCATACAGAAATAATCAAGCCTAATAGTTCAGATGATTCTGCGGCCCAAATCCCTGCCTCCCTGAGTAACATCAGGGCCAGCTCTGGGGGCAGTACTGCTTTGACTGCTAAAATGATGCTGGGCCAGCATGTCATTTGTTGAACTGGCTCTTTTATGAGAGAGATACATCATCAGAAATCAGACGGCCCCATCAATGCCACTACTGGACATTAACATACTGTGGGTGACAGGAGAAAAGAGCAGGTGCCTGCAGCAACTTCTAGGCAACCCCCATGTCTAACCTCAGCCAATCAATGGCAGGTCCACGTCTCCCAGAAAAGGGAAGGGGAGTAGAGATCAGAGGATCCAAAATCTGATGAGCAGAATAAATGTGTGACTTCAGAAAATAAAATTAGTCATTATTTAATATTCATGACCTATAACAACAGATGGATACATAAATAGTAAATGAATGAATGAAGATTATTTAATATTCCTTTACTATCTGTTTCTGGAGGATTCTATTGCATAGGGCATTTGCAATCCCCCTTTTCCTTATGAGTACAAAGAACAAGCTGGCAGGGAGGGACTAGAGAAATTCATCCCAACTGGTTTTCAGGATGGAAAGAGCTATGTTTCTGTAAGGCTGCCCTTCTATGAAAGGTCTAAGCATCTTCACTACAAGTTAACCAGGTCTACTACATACTTTAACTCAATCCAGAAAACAACAGCAAGACAAGACAGAGAGACCTGCAGGATTGAGGGCTGAATACCAGTTTGACTCACTTTAAAACACGGTTTCAACTGAAGAAATTTGGTAGGTATCTCGTATCGTGCAAGATTCTCCCAAAAGTTCCTTAGGGCACTTTCCCACGATCACATCAGAGACAGAATGGATTGTAAATGATAAAGTCGTTATAAAATAGGAACACACTTCAACCACTTTCCTCCCAAGACAGTGTGCTCTGGCCTAGGAAATTAGTCATTCAAACTCCAGGACATCATGCACAAATAGGTCAAAGTATAAAAAGAGAAAAATCGAACCTCCAGGACAGAGTCAGAAAATGCCAAGACACCACCTTAGTCACAGCAAACTGTGTTTCAGCATCTGAATGAATTCTTAATCTATTTTTTAAATCACATCTTTCTGAATCTCAGAACGTTAAGCATTTAAATGCCAACCAGAATTGCAGGCACTAATTGGAGAGCAATGCAGCTTTTTAGGCAGGAGGCCTGATCCAAACTGACTCCCAAAGTCTTAAGAAATCAGAATCAGTGTGTATCAACCCATCGTCATGGTCCAGAATGTTAGACAATAAAGGGGAAGAGAAGCTATCGTTAAGTCTGAGTATGTTACTTTTCAGGCTGTCTCTTTTCTGAATCTTAACGATTTGCAGGTTGTACAAGTTTTTCTAAAGACGAGCTGTTCAAAGTAAGGGCATAGTTTATTATTTTCCAGAGGAAAGGTTTGTGGCTTAAACATGATTTCTGTACTACAGGGAAATAAAAACATTGTGAAAAAAAAGTTGTGTTTCCTATTTTCTAACTTTCATTCATTTACTTCGTCTTCCTTTTCTTTTTTCTCTTTTTGAGACTGAGTTTTGCTCTGTTGCCCAAGCTAGAGTGCAGTGATGGGATCTCAACTCGCTGAAATCTCTGCCTCCCAGGTTCAAGTGATTCTCCTGCCTGAGCCTCCGGAGTAGCTGGGATCACAGGTGTGAACCATCACGCCTGGCTAATTTTTATATTTTTTAGTAGAAATGGGTTTCACCATGTTGGCCAGGCTGGTCTCGAACTCCTGACCTCAGGTGATCCGCCCACCTCCGCCTCCCAAAGTGCTGAAATAAGAGGTGTGAGCCACCGTGGCCAGCCTCCATTCATTTACTTTTAAGAAACATTTATGTACTCTAATAACTGAATCTCCTCCCCCCTTCCTTATCCCATTTATCTTATTGCATTTTTGTATCTCACAGTTTAAACTTCTAATTGCCCTTATTTCTGAGAACTTCAATTAGATGCTCCTTTTTCAGATAAAAAGGCTGTTTAAGAAACTTCCGAACTAGGCAGGGTTCTGAACCCAGCAGCTGCACAGAACTAGTACAAGCTATTATTTCCTTTAACTATCTCAATGGTAACAAACATAAAAAGAATGACCTAGAAATGTTTTTAAAGTAGTAGTTAAAATACAAACAAGGCCTAGAAAAGATATTCTAGGCTGAGCATTTAAAATCTGATGACACACAGTGAGTGGTCAACATGTACTGAACAATTTTCAGTAACCTCTGAGCACTGTCTCTATTTCTTTACCTTCCACTCCCTCCTCTACCCAAAATACACTGGCTTTTGCCCTAAACATCTCCCTGGAAGCTTCCTTCCTCCTAAGTCACTAGAGATCTTTGATGCCAGTCTAACCAGTCTGCAGTGGACCTTTTCTTTGACTTTTCTGCAGCTTCTGACACCACTCATCATTCCCTCCCTCCCGTTTCTGTGAGATGTGCTCCAGCTAGCTCTTCAGCTCTTCCATTCCTCTTCCTGTGTGGGCTTCTCCTACTCTTGATCAGGGGGAATCAACAAACTTTCTGTAAAGGGCCAGATAGTAAATATTTTTGGACTTACTGGCCATATGGTCTTCATCACAACAACTCAATTCTGCACTTGTAGGGCCAAAGCAGCCATAGACAATGTGTAAACAAATGAGTGTGTGGCTGTGCTCCCATAAAACTTTATTTATGGACAGTGAAATATGAATTTCCTGTCATTTTCACATGTCATAAAATATTCTCATTTTTTCTCCAATAATTACAAAATGTAAAAAATATTTTTAGCTCATGGGCAGTACAAAAACAGACAGTCCACGGCCATAACGGCAACCCTGGCTTCTGACTGGGGAAGGGCAAATCAATGTGGCCAT